TGACAACTGTCTATTAGAAGCACTTGGGGAGTTTTAAAAATGAATACTGATGTCTGGACCCAGGTCTTGACCTCTATACACCCTATTGGGTCTTCAGCATTGTCCAACAATCCTACTATGCTTGTCCAGTAAGTTTGCTTTCCATTCCACAAAAGAGCTGTCCCATTCTTTTATTTCCTTGGCCCCTTGCTTTGCCAGCAGCTGACATTAGACAGGTCCTTCCTCCTGTTCCAATCCCCTAAACTTCTGACATGCCCGTCTTTGTTATATAGTTAGTGTTGTTCATAGTCACTGTGAAACTGTGAATGAGATGCCCTTCATGTGTGAAAGACTGACTTGCTTTCCGGGATTGGGACTTAGTCATCCTCCTTGTCTTCTCAAGGACATTTCTGATTGTTTTTGAGACAGGGTATCTTTATGTAATTCTGGCTGTCCTTAAATTCACTATGTAGCCCAGGCTTCATACTTGTGATCCTCCTGCCTCAGCCTCCCAAGTGCTAGGATTACATAAAGATGCGCACCACTATGCCTGACTCCAAGGACATATTTTTATTTGTAAGTAATTTAAAATGTTAGAAATAAATTGTAAAAGTGAAAACAGTACAAATACCTCTATACTCTTTATCTGGATTCATCTGTTGTTAACATTTCACCCCATTTGCTTTATCATTTACACACTTATTCATGCACATGATGTTTTTCTGAGCCATTAGATAATAGCTTACATACTTCACGGCCTTTTACTCCTGAATACTTTAATATTAGTTTCCTAACAATAAGAATATCATCTTCTTATATTACCACAACACTGCTATCAATACAGTAAATTTAACATTGATATTGGTAACTAATGTCATTCCTTTTCAAGTTTTGACAATAGACCTGATAACATTATAGCACTTTTTCTTTCTAGTACAGGACCTGGTTTTGTGTTATTATTGCATGTAATTGTCATGTATCTTGGCCCTTTTAGTTTGTGTTGGAGTATTTCCATAACCTTTCATTGTCTTTTAGGACATTGATACTTGAGAAGGATACTGGCCATCTCCCCCCCCCACCTTTTTTTAATAGAATATCCATCATTTTTGGTATGTCTGATAATTCTTGTGATTAGACTCTGGTTATGCATCTGGGGCCAGAATACTGCATAGATGATGATAGATATTATATCACTATAGATAATGTGTCCCTCTCAGGTGTCACATCTTGGAGGCTTATGATGTCCAACTCTTTCTTGTTCGTGATATTAATGTTGATCAGCTGGTCTGATTTTTCCACTCAGTAGTTACTAGTTTTTTCCTTCCAAATCAGCAATCTTTGGAAACACACAAATATACACAGATTTCCTGCTCCTCATTAATATTTCTAGATTTAGCATTCAATGATGATTATTGTCTGATCCAATTTTATTATGGTTGAAAATAATGATTTTCCAACTCTAGTATTCTCTCCATGTTTACCAGCTGGTTCTCAGCAAGTTCTCCCTCATTTATTTCTATATTCAACTATTTATTATAGACATGAATTCATGGATTCCTGTTTTTAATGGATTATAATTTATCAACATACTTAGTTTGGTTGCCTGTTTGCGAAGTGCTTAATTCTTTTTTTCTATTTCCTTTTCTCTTTCCTGCTTTAATAAACACCTCTCTCTCTGGATCATTCCTATTTGGTGACAGTCGTGCTCTAGCTAATATCTAATATTTCCATTAGTTCCACATCCTCTTCCACTTGTCCCCCCCACCCATTTCTGGTCTCCTCCTTGTCCTCTAACGAGCCTTTCAAGGATGCTCATGCTTTATTGTTCCATATTTTCCACTTGTCCAGTCTAATCAGGGTTCTACACACTGCTATGTAAATACAAGGATTACTGGCTTGAATCACTGTGCTTGACTCTTCAGCAGCACTTGCCACAGGAAGTCATTTCTTTCCTTCTTCTTGTAGCCCCCATTGTCTTACACTATCTTGCTTTTTCTCCTCTTGCTGGTAACTCATTCTGAGTCTTCCATGCTGTTCCCTCCCAGGCCGCTAACTCTGTAAAGGTTAGTGCTTTCATGGGACCCTGGGACTTCCTAGTCTTCCCTTTACGTTCCATCTAGATGCCTGTACCTCCAGACCTAATCACCCTCCCAAAGATTTAATAATATGCACAGAGCATGAACAAGCATATCAAACGCTATTTCCAAAGCAAAATCAGGATTTTCTCTGTCCCTTCTGTAAAATCAGATTCTGTCCCAGTGAGGCCTGCCGTGGTCTGTGGCACTACCATCCACACATTTGTTTAAGCCCCAAACCTACAGCGCTCATGCCCCACATTCTACCTATTAATAAATCTCGTTTATTTGGCTTCTGAAGTATATTCCAGATGTTCCCACTGCCATCTCTTTCTTGGCTGACTGCAGTCGTTTCCTAGAACCCAGTATCCATATGGGAGCTAGAGCACCTTTTTAGATACACTGATTAAATCATCCCATTCCCTTGCTCTGCCCTGTCCTGGCCCCAGCTGCTCTTCTCTCTTCTCTCTGGCCCATTAAACTACTTTTGATTCTGCCAGCACTTCAAGCTCCTTTTGGCCTGTTTTGTTTTGTTTTGTTTTGTTTTTGATACAGGGTCTTGCTACAAAGCTCAGACTCTTAGTGATCCTTTTGTCTTAGCCTCCCCAGTGTGTGCCATCACACCCAGTTTTGGGGCTGGCCCGGGGTTCTGGGGCCTGCACAGCATGTGAGATCGAACTTGGGTCCTAGCACTTGCCAGGCAGGTGCTTAGACCACCGAGCTATCTCCCTAGCCCCTTTTGGCTTTTTGAACTAACTATTATTGCAAAATTCTCCCTGCTTTCTCCTCTACCTTTCTTCATTCAGATTGCAGTATTGCAGTACTGCATCAGATTACAGTAAATATTACCTCTTTGAAATAACCAGTAAGTCACCCTTCATGTCATTCTACCCTGCTTTAATTCTCAATCTTACATTTATTATATGTTAGTTTCTTTGATGTTTTGGATTTTTATTGTTCCCCTCTCCTACCCCTCCCCACATCTTTATATTTAATGCTTGAATAATATTTAGCATACAGTAGGTATTCAGCAAATATTTGGTAAATGAACAATGCATTAAAATTCTCTAATGTGATTTTCAGCACATGAAAGACATTCAGGAAACATTCTCTTTTTTTCTGTAGTACATTTATGTATCTGAGGCTGGTCTAGAAGCTTCTTCTGATAAAAAGATGCACATTTATGTGTCAGGATCTTAATTATTAAGGTTTCCAGGCAAAGGGGAATTATATTTTTTAAGAAAAAACTAATAGAATTCCAGAGATCATCAGTGTCACATTTTTCAATGGGGGACTTTCCTTTCCTTTTTTTTTTTTTTTTTTAAAGACAGGGACTTGTGTGTAGTTCAGGCTGGTATTGAGTTCATTATGTAACCCAGGCTGGCCTCAAATTCACAGCAATCTTCCTGCTTCAGGCTCCTCAGGGCTGGAATCAGAGGTGTTTGCTACCATACCCAGTCTGGACCTCTTAAATATACAACTGGCTCTTGGATTTTTTTTCTTTTTCGCTGTTTTTTTGTTTCTTTGTTTTTGAAACAGGGTCTTGCTTTGTACAGTAGTTCAGGTTGGCCTTGAACTCACGAGGATCCTCCTGCCTCAGCCTCCAAGGTACCACCAGGCTCAGCTCAGATTCTTAAAAATTAGCATGCTTACCTTGGGGTTCAAGTCTGTCAGTTTTCTTTCTTTCTTTCCTTCTTCTTTTTCTTCTTCTTTTTTTTTGTGATACTGGGGCTTGAACTCAGGACCCTGCACTTGCCAGACAAGTGCTTATTCTACTGAGCTATCTCCCCAGCCCCTGTCAGTTTTCTTAATGCTCCATTTTCGAGGACTGCATGTGGATTTTGAGGTGCAAAGGGGATAAAAAAGGAACTGATTCTCCTCTGTCTTTGTGTATAGCATAAGTGACTGTGTCCATTTAAGCCTTAGCTCTGGAATAACACAAGTGAGAAATTGTGCATGTTATTGGAAGCTGGGAAAGGATATCAAGAAATATCTTCCAGCACTTGGTTTTGGTTTGAGATTCATGAATTGAATATACAGGGGAACAGGGTTGGGAGCTTGTCTCCTGACATGGCTCCCCTTTTATGAATTATTTGAAGATTAGTTGTTCTGTTTTGTTTTTTAACCCCTGGGGATGGAGGGTCTTGAGCATGTTAGGCAAGTGCTCTACCATTACCCCAGTCCCTAGCTCTCTAGCTGTGGTTTTGTTGTTTGAAAACTTATGGAGGACTCTATGTGGTCTTAAAGCTTCTAGCCTAAATTGTTTCAAATGAGCCCAACTAGTGCTTTTATTGTGCTAGATGGTTAAAATTTTGACAGAATGTACTATATACGTTTTTGGAGTAACAATTACCCTTGTCCCAGAAAAATCTGGTTTTCTAAGTTGGGCCACATGCTCATTGCATTCACTTCATAGTGAGCCAAGAGCCATGCACCATGATTCACACTCCTGACGGGAATCACCTGTGCACCACCATTAGTCACTTTCTTTGTGTACTCATACTTAAGAAGTAGGCATGTGTGTCAGGTCTCATTTCATGGGCGCATTCAGAAACTTCTTCTGTTTGACCCTCGTGAAAGTGAACTGAATAGGCAAACATATTTTTTTGTATTGAAGTGCAAATAATACACATAAATGTGTAGCTGAGCAAATTTTCAAAACATGGACACACTCCTGTCACCAGTCATCAGACTAAGAGTCAGACCACAAAAGAGCCCTCAGAAGTGCTCTTTAAATCCCCTCCAGTCCCTGCTCTCTTTACTCAATGCCGTTGGTCAGTTTTGTTTATCCTTAAGTTTCATTTATACGGTGCCAGACCTGACCTGTAACTTCTCTCACCGGGCAGTTAGTGAGAGCCCTGCATGGCTGTGCACGGTTGTCGCTGAAGTACTGTGGAACGTGATTCCCACAGTTTGTTCTTTGTTTGATTCCTTTTTGTCTTTTAGAAATGGTGCTTTGTGGAACACTCTTGCATGTCTACTGGTGAATGCATATGTACGTTATTACCAGGTAAATACCCGAAAGAATGCTTTAAATATATTTTAATTGTTTTCACAGTTGTTAATTATTTACTCCTGACTGTGATTAGGATTAGTAGCCCCTTTTGGCCATAGCTCGTACAACTGTATCCACAAAACAGAACTTGAGTTAAGTTTTAGCATCCCTTTTTATTTTTTTCTAAGAATGTATTCTGTACTTGTTTATTCCTCTACCAACTACTTATATCAAAAATAATTTTAAAATGTCTTTAAAATGTTGGCTTACATTTTCTTCTCTTCCAAGCTGTCTCTAACCTATCCTGTCCCTCTTAGCTTATTCTGAAAGACAAAATACACCTGGAGCAGTTTCAACGTGCTCAACGGATACTGAGGTATACAATTGCCACTTGGATGGCCTTAGAACAGTACAGGCTTCTTGGGCACTGACTCATGATTTTGCCAAGTAAAGGAAAACATGGAAAGAAGAAGAAGTAAGAACCTAAAGGAGTTTTGAAAAACTGAAGTATGCTTTCTTTTGTTATGATTACATGCAGGCCAATCAGTTGACACTCTTTTCTCCATTTAACAAATCTGTGTTTTCAACCAACTGGAACCAAACACATTCCATTTGGGGGTTTTTGGGTTTTTTTTTTAAAGAGACATATCACAGCATGTACTTTTTATACAGAGAGAATAATTAGCAGGCAGTTTCATCTACAGCAGGACTTGCTTAACTCTAAGGTGCACAGTGGGATTCTTATTAAAATGCAAATTCGGATTCTGCAGCTCTGGGCAAGAACTAGGATTTGTGCATTTCAGCTCGGTGCAGGTGTTGCTCAGCAAGGCTTTAGAGCACAGCTGCTTCTCTGTTTCTGCTGCCCATTTTTGATGATAAACATCCCTGCCCGACAACCTCCCTGGGCTGGACCTCCCCTAGCTGGCAAGTAGACAAAGCAGGGTGTACATTGAATGTTTCTTTTAACCTCAAGTAGCAACTGCTTTCAAAGCCCCCTCACCTGGTTTTTCTTCAAACTCCCCAACACCTGAGGACTACTAGGAAACACTAAACCCCATAAACACATGCCAAACCACAACACATGCATGCACTCAATCCCAGGTGCTGACATTTAAGAAAGGAGTGAGGTGGGGCAGGCATGAAGCCACCCTCTTCTGTCCTGGCTGCAAGACTTGCTATTTCCTCATTCATTCCAGAGAGGCTGGGTGTCTGTCTCAGCCACCTTTGCCCTCACCGCTTCAGCATACATCAGCCCACCCATCTCCGGCTTGCTTTGCTCCCCAGGTGGCAGTGCTAAGGAATTACTCCTCCACCCCACCGCAAACAGCCCTCAGCCTGATACAAGTTGGTAAATACACACGGCTCCTTTACCTTCTTGTTAATGCCCTGTATTAGCAACCTCCATGCCTGTTTCACTTCCCCATTCTCCTATCTGTGTTTCCTGGGATCATATCCTAAATAAACCACTTGCTTTCCAATCTGTGCCTCACAGTTACAGCCCAAACTAAGGCAGGGCTATTGAGGGCCAACAATCAGGAAGTAGTTCTGCTCATTTTAATAAAATCCCATTGTAAGAAAACAAGACGGGAGCCCCGTGGGGTTTGCTGTAAGGGGTTTCACCAGTGTGTAGATATTTTGTTGGCATGACATCAAACATTCAGATGGCTGAATAAGGCCATAATGGAGAGAACACTCCCGCATTGTTGGGAGGTTTAAGGATCATGTCAGCAGAGTTGGTTTTCTGGGCCCACAGACCAGTTGGTTCCTGTCCTGCCTCCTGTCCCAGGGCATATGGGCCTTTGCCTCACCTTTACTGCATGGTCTTTCTTTTTTTATGAACAGAATATATTTATTGAGAGAAAGAAAGCTCCTGTCCAAGAGAGGGACAGGAGGGGGGCCCGAGCAGGTAGTTCCCCCGGATGCATGGACCTCCCTCACTCTCCTTCCCTTTGGTGGGTCACCTGCCTACCCCTTATGGGTGAGTCCTTAGACTCTTTCCTGAGTGGGGTCTAGGTCCTCATACCCACCCTTTGTTTCTCCAAGCTTTGTACCCCGGGTCACTGTTCCTCTTGGCCACATCCCTACCTTTTCCTCTCCTCCTGCTTTCTTTCCCCAGGACATGGGTCTGAATTTAGGCATAATTTAAAGTTCTTGGTGCTTTTCAGGGAATTTTAGGCCTGCCTGGACCCCAGTTGATGTTCTTAGTCCTTCTGTGTGTTCAGAAGTGTGATAGGACCCAGGCTTTCTCCCTTAAGACTTTATGTTTCAGATGCCCCTTCCTGTGGTTCCTCATGATGAACCTGCACTGGGCAAGGTTACCAGCCTGACCTGGCACTCTTGACTGAATTTCTCAGTTTTGCTCTGCCTCTGCCAGGTTGTACTACCCAGCCGACTAAGTGGCAATCTTCATGTTTGAGCTTTCTAGGATCCTAATCAGAAAGCCTTGGGCCTTTGGATTTGGTATTTTAATAGTGCAAGTCAAGTATGGTGGCACACATCTGTAATCCCAGCCCTCTGGGATGCTGAGATAGCAGGATCACAAGTTTGAGTGCCCTTGGGCAATTAGCGACTTAGTGTGCAACTGTCAAAAAGTACTAAATAAATTGGGCCAGGGATGTAGTTCAATGCACAGAACCTGGGTTTAATCTCCAGTACTATAAAAAAGGTATATGGTGATAGGTACAGTAGTGCACACCTGTAATCCCAGGTACTTAGGAGGATGAGACAGGAAGATGTCAAGTTTGACAGGAGCCTGAGCAACTTAGTGAGCTCTTGTCTCAAAATCTTAAAAAAGGGGCTGGGGATATAACTCAGTGGTAGAACAACCCTGGATCTGATCCACAGTACAATTAAAAAAAATACAAAGTCCAACAGGGGTAGTATTAATGTAGAAACTGTTAAAATATTAAGGGTAGATAGCTAGGTGACTGCTTCTCTGATTTGGAGAACCAAGAATCTACCTTTCTTAGTCAACTAGTAGAACAAGATACCATAGATTGGATGGCATAAGCAACAAGTTTGTTTCTCATGGTTCTAGAGATTGAAAGTCCAAGGTAAGATGCCAGCACAGTCAGCTACCAGCCACTGGTATGTCCTCACTGTGTCCTTGGCAGAGAGCAAGAAAAAGTGAGTGAGCAAATCTTTTTCTTATAAGGCCACAGTTGTATCAGAATAGGTCCCCACCCATATGACTTCATTTAATCTTAATCACCTATTAAGACTGTATTCTAGATACAGTCATATTGGGAATCAGGGCTTCAACATATGAAGGGGGAGGACACAATTCAGTCATAGCCATAAGTGTGCCCAGCCCCCTGTCTCACCTATTCATCTGCCTGAAGCTTGACATTTCACAATTTGAGATTCACTTCTTTGCTCTAAAGTGTTGTTGAAATGTAAACAGGCATAGGATCTGGTTGATGTACCCCAGAGTGCCCTATTCCTGAGCAGGTAAAGGTTCCAAAAGTATGAAGTCTTTGAGTTCCTAGAAATTGGGAATGGACCCCACCTAGAGGACAGAAAGGGTACTAAGGAGGGAGTCAGTTTTCTTCAGTGTCAGCTTTAATAAGCTTTGGCAAGGCCTGTCGTCCTCTGAAGTTATTTTCTTATCAGTTACTTCAGAATAGTCCTTACAATAAAAGAAACAAGCGCTAAATTTTGCTTTCTTTGATCTGTGAGCTATTTGAGAGAAATTACCTTTTAAAGGCTATGCAAAGGATGGATCAAAGTTCAACTTGTGATTGGTCCATCCAACCTTCTATCAACGGGAACTCTTCCTTAGCTGGCCAATAATGACAACAAATATTTGTAATAATGACTGCATGTGCTGCTGGGGATCTAAAGCACTTTTTCAAATGTCAAAAACTTAATTACATGGGATAATTTCAGAGTAATTATGATCCTGAGAAAGCTTTGGTTACTGTTCGTTATGAAATGGTAATCCTTTATTGACCAGAAGAACTTCCCCTGCCCTTGCTAGCACCGAGAGGGAGCCTGAAGTAATGTGGACTGATTCTTAGGGATTGTGATGGCTGCCACCAGCTGCTTGTGGACGTTTAAGTTCTCCCAGCACTGTGTGTCCATCAGGCACATGGCTCTTCACCTATGTGGCTTTGCTGTCAGGGGGACCAGTTAAAGGCTGGCACTGCTCAGTCAATATGTGCTGGGGAAAGTGTGTAATTAATTCCACCTTCTTAGGGCTGCTTAGGCAACCCAGGCTGTGTGGCAGCTTTTTAAAAATGTGTAAAGGTAGGCTTATCATGAATTGGGTTTTTGTCTTTCATGTACATTTCCTTATAGTTTCCATGGATATAATTATGTCCTTAAGCAAGAGAAAATGTTACCTGCATACTTTTCAGACTTAAATACAAATGATATCTTTTTCGCCATTATGCTCTGCAACTTCCATTTCATTCAGTGTTATTCTTGTTAGATTTAGCCTCATTGCTAGATGTAGCTCTAGCTTCTTTCTGTTCCTTCCCTTTACCCTTGAAATACTCCCAAGGAATGGTCAAACCTACATTTGACGGAGTTAAGGAAGCATAGGAATTTCTCTGTCTCTGTCTCTCTCTCTGTCTCCGTCTCCGTCTCCGTCTCTCTGTCTCTCTTGTAACTAGTTGACCTGGCGACAAACCTCAAACTATTTTTCTAATCAGATCTGAATCAAGCCAACAATTCACTTAGCTTTTAACTACTTTGGAAACTTGTTTTTTAAGACTGTTTCTTCCATATGTTCATAACCCACAAAATTGGTTTTGGAAATAATCCTTTTTTGCTTTGCCTGCAAAGAATGACAAAGTTGAGTTTGAGTTCATTTGGAATAACTTTTCTCCCCCTAGGTTTTCAGATAGTGTTATCTTTCTCTGTTTTCCTTTAGCTTCACATGCATTTGTTCCCTCTCAAGTTCTGCATTCATCCATCCATCCATGTGCTCTTTCGACATAAGTTTATAAAATCTCTCCTCTATGAGAGATACCCCAAGCTGCTGCCTCAGCAAAGCTTCTTTTTAGGGGGCT